CGTCTAAGGTTGATGAGCCACCGTCTAAGGTCGATGAGCCACCGTATAAGGTTGATGAGCCACTATCTAAGGTTGATGAGCCACCGTCTAAGATTGATGAGCCACCGTATAAGGTTGATGAGCCACCATCTAAAGTTGATGAGCCAACTTCTAATGTTGATGAGCCACCTTCTAAGGTTGGTGAGCCACCGTCTAAGGTTGATGAGCCACCGTCTAAGATTGATGAGGCACCGTCTAAGGTTGATAAGCCACCGTGTAAGTTTGATGAGCCACCGTCTAAGGTTGATGAGCCACCGTCCAAGGTTGATAAGTCACCGTCTAAGGTTGATGAGCCACCGTCTAAGGTTGATGAGCCAACGTCTAAGGTTGATGAGACACCGTCTAAGGTAGATGAGACACCGTGTAAGTTTGATGAGCCACCTTCTAAGGTTGATGAGCCACCGTCCAAGGTTGATAAGTCACCGTCTAAGGTAGATGAGCCACCGTCTAAGGTAGATGAGCCACCGTCTAAGGTTGATGAGCCACAGTCTAAGGTTGATGAGCCACCGTCTAAGGTTGATGAGCCACCGTCTAAGGTTGATGAGCCACCGTCTAAGGTTGATGACCCACCGTCTAAGGTTGATGAGCCACCTTCTAAGGTTGATGAGCCACCTTCTAAGGTTGATGAGCCACCGTCTAAGGTTGATGAGCCACCGTCTAAGATTGATGAGCCACCGTCTAAGGTTGATAAGCCACCGTCTAAGGTTGATGAGTCACCGTCTAAGGTTGATGAGTCACCGTCTAAGGTAGGTGAGCCATCGTCTAAGGTTGATGAGCCACCGTCAAAGATTGATGAGCCACCGTCTAAGGTTGATAAGCCACCGTCTAAGGTTGATGAGTCACCGTCTAAGGTTGATGAGTCACCGTCGAAGGTAGGTGAGCCATCGTCTAAGGTTGATGAGCCACCGTCTAAGGTAGATGAACCACCGTCTAAGGTTGATGAGCCACCGTCTAAGGTAGATGAGCCACAGTCTAAGGTTGATGAGCCACCGTCTAAGGTTGATGAGCCACCGTCTAAATAGATGAGCCACACTCTAAGATTGATTAGCCACCGTCTAAGGTTGATGAGCCATCGTCTAAGGTTGATGAGCCACCGTCTAAGGTAGATGAGCCACCGTCTAAGGTAGATGAACCACCGTCTAAAGTAGATGAGCCACCGTCTAAGGTAGATGAGCCACCGTCTAAGGTAGATGAGCCACCGTCTAAGGTAGATGAACCACCGTCTAAAGTAGATGAACCACCGTCTAAAGTATATGAGCCACCGTCTAAGGTAGATGAACCACCGTCTAAGGTAGATGAGCCACCGTTTAAGGTTGATGAGCCACCGTTTAAGGTTGATGAGCCACCGTCTAAGATTGATGAGCCACCTTCTAAGGTTGATGAGCCACCATCAAATGATGAATAAGATATCTTATTAACATGTGCGTTTGTCTCTGGCCTTAAGTCTTTTGCTTGAAACACGCTTGTAATTAAATCGTCTCTTGAAATGCCCAACGACTGTTTTTGATTCGGGAACAGATCCAGTAAGTGTGATAAAAATATTTATAAAATCCACGTTGTTGACATTTCACTGTGTTGTGCAATGTTCTGGTACAACAGCATAGTATCTTGAAGAAAATAATGTTTGAGAACCGAAACGTTCTGAAAACGATAGGTTCGCTTACCGAAATTCTACCTCATTGAAATAATTTAATTCAATTAACTTGTTCACGATTTTGAAATATGGTGTTTTTTGTTGTTTTTTTTTACATTTTAAAGTGTTCTTATGTAATAAAAAAAGTAGAATGAAACGAATATGACTTTTATTAGAGACATAAAACGAAGAAAAATTAAAATTAAAAAAAAAAATAATAAGCCGACTGTAAAACTTGACCCTCTTTGTTGACAGTTGCTGGCTCAGTTGGATGGCAGAGGAGAAGAAGAAAGCTATTAGTATAAGTATTGCTTACAAGGGAAATGCTCCTTTCATAAAAACTAAGAGTACTTTGATTCAGTTTTTTTTCTTCCTTTCTATTCCGTACCTTTGCATTTGCTTCTTTTCACACGATCAAATTTTCGCTCATACATTTGATGCGATTTGAATATGAAGCCACGTCAAAACTTTCAAAATACTATTTGATCGAATTACCATTAAAACACGAACATAATCGTACATTCATACAAAAATGTTGAAGCTAATTTGAAAGGAATTCGATCGTGTGTACTGACGCTTAGTAAGACACTTACTTTTATTGGCACTTCCCCCCCTTTTTTTAGGCGCTATAATGATGGCTTAAATAACGCAAACATTTCAAAACAACAAAAGAGTGGTGTTTTTTTTAAAGCAGCAATCGGACAAACAAACGGGATTGTGCGCACCGAGCCGGTGGGATTGTGTGCACCGAGTTGGTGGGGTTGTGTGTACTGAGTCGGTGGGATTGTGTGTACTGAGCCAGTGGGATTGTGTGTACTGAGCCAGTGGGATTGTGTGTACTGATCCGGAGGGATTGTGTGTACTGAGCCGGTGGGGTTGTGTGTACTGAGCCAGTGGGATTGTGTGTACTGAGCCGGAGGGATTGTGTGCACCGAGCCGGTGGGATTGTGTCCACCGAGTTGGTGGTGTTGTGTGTACTGAGCCAGTGGGATTGTGTTTTTCGGGCCGGTGATATTCTGTGTACCGAGCCGTTGGGATTGTGTGTACCGAGTTGGTGGGGTTGTGTGTACCGAATTGGTGGGGTTGTGTGTACCCAGTTGGTGAGGTTGCGTGTACTGAGTTGGCGGGATTGTGTGTACCGAGTTGGTTTGGTAGTTTGTACCCAATCGATGGGATTGTGTGTACCGAGCCGGTGGGATAGTGTGTACCGAGTCGGTGGGATTGTGTGTACCGAGTCAGTTGGATTGTAGTTTTGTTATTCATGACACTAAAGGGCTAAATTATTGACATCTAAATACATTTAAATTTAAATTCAATCGTATTTCTCCCCAGAAGACATAAATTGATTGAGTTGGCTAACTGATCAGAGCACCAGTCAAAAACCTTGCATTGCAAGCTTACTATAAAAGGTAGGCCTACTTCGGTCTCAGGGCCAGAGGAGGACCGCGCCATCAGTGGATGGGCTGTCCGTCAGTGGATGGGCTGCCCGTCAGTGGATGGGCTGTCCGTCAGTGGATGGGCTGTCCGTCAGTGGATGGGTTGTCCGTCAGTGGATTGGCTGTGTTAAGGACGCCCTGAAAAATGCACAACGTGACCTTTAGCAGGTCTCACACTTTGCAGCAATCTACATTAGATAGATCCCATGATAATAGTTGAATCCGTGCATAAGTTACTTCCCTTCATCAAACTGATTCTAAATTCTACTAACTCATCGATGTAACCATTTTATTTTGATACCTCTAGAAATAAATCTAAGAAATTAACTACATAAAAGGAGAAAAAAAATCTCCATGGACGGTGAATAAACTTGCGTGTGACTTATTTGAATTGTTGTGCAAATAAATCTGTGATGTTTAAATTTAACTTTTTACATTATATTAATGCTTTCATTCTGCAAAAAGACTGATAATTTTGGTGAAAACATAATACAAAAACAATCCTTTGGCGTATTAATACTAACACGTTTTTAAAAAAAAAAGTATTCTCAAAAAATAAACAAAGGGGAGTAAATCCTACACGTAACTTAAATAAACACGTAAATGACGACATGTCGCGGCTTCTTTGCTTCACCCAAAAATTGCAATGTGTCTGATCATACCATTTTTATAAGCTCTAAATGGAGAAAAAAAAATTTGTGTGGGGAAAAAAAATTCTGGTAGCCATAAATCTTCATTTAAACCAAAATAAAATGTCTATCGCAATCTGAAGTAAAAAATATAAAAAAACCCGGTATATATATTTAAAAAAAATGTCCACTCTAAAAAATATCCTTAAAACCATGCATTACCATTTATGTCATTCGAATATTTAAATCTAAAAATCGTCAGCGTCATTCATCACAACAGCATCCATTTCCTGAAAGGAGATAAAATGGCGAACATGCATCGACTCACTCGGCTTGGAGCCGCACCACTGGCTGCTAAGTATCTGGTCACCCCGACTGCACGTTTGAACTGGCAATCTGTTGCATGCGGTTTGAACAAATTCCATTCATACTCCAAGAATCATGACGTGTTTCATGGTAAAACTAATTCCCCTTTACAGTCATAACAGTGTTAACAAGCAAATCATATTGGATATGTACATCTCTTCAAGCTTTATGTTATCAATGTTGTCTTATAGTTAGCTTAAACTAACGACATTCCTCATTATTTACACATCAAAACGAAATAATCCACTGTTAGGTTGAATAATTCATTACAATGAGCAATAACGTTGCATGGACCAATCTGCCAAACACAGATTGGGGGCGAGTCTACCTCCACAGCATCTACCCAGCACAACCGAGTCTACCGATGTTTCATCTGTCCGTCGGCTTCTGGCTGTGCACCGCGTTCAGTACCTTCTCGCACGACACACTTCAGTGGTGTCTCGCACGGCACACTTCAGTGGTGTCTCGCACGGCACACTTCAGTGGTGTCTCGCACGGCACACTTCAGTGGTGTCTCGCACAGCACACTTCAGTGGTGTCTGACAGTTGCCAAAAGTATCACTCCTAGACCAAGATTGGGCAACTTTTTTTTTTTTTTCAAAATCCAAATAGCCACAGTTGTTGTGAATGAAAAAAATAAAATTCGTCGCCCAAATATAAATCATAAAAGACTACTATTAATTCAAATGAGAGTTCACTCGCAACAATTATTAATGAACTCCCATGCTCGATAAGGGCCTCGTTGGCAGTGGGGTCCTAGGCGGTCGCCAAGTTTGCCTGTGCGTAATAAACGACTGTGCTCAGCTAAGATTTCATTCTTTTGCCCTTCCATCCTTCAAATTTTTTTTTTTTTTTTTGGGACTTATTTTCTAATTTACGTTTTTTTTTTCTTTTAGACATTTTGGTGTATAAGGGCCTCGTTGGCTGTGGGGTCCTAGGCGGTCGCCAAGTTTGCCTGTGCGTAATAAACGACTGTGCTCAGTTAAGATTTCATTCTTTTGCCCTTCCCTCCTTCAAATTTTTTTTTTTTTTTTTTGGGACTTATTTTCACATTTACGTTTTTTTTTTCTTCTAGACATTTTGGTGACCTTCCTAATTGTATCCTTATTGTATTAATTGGATGTAGTGTTTCATAAATGGTGAGATGTCGGTCATCATGAAGGATTTGTGAAATGTATTTGATATATGTATTCCTGAGACTGTTTAGAACGAAGGAACGCATTTCAGGCCACAGGAAATATCGGGATCCGGAGATACACCTTCGTGTTTTCCCGTATATGGGCTATAAAAATAAAGAGTAAAAAAACAATCTTGATTATTCACTGCGCCAAGTGCCAAGGTCGGTCACAAAGGTTTTTTTATCGTTGCACTTGTGCGCGGTGCGTAAGATAGCTCTGCCCAATATAAAAGAGCATTGTAGTTTGTGATCATTTACTTAACCTATGAACTCCTACAAATCAAACTCTTACAAATCAAACTCTTACAAATTAAACTCTTTCAAAATAATATATTACAAAGTAATCTGTAACAAAATAATCTCTCACAGAATAATCTCTTACTAAATAATCTCTAACATAATAATATCTTACAAAATAATATATTAACAAATAATCTTTTACGAAATGATCTATTATAAAATAATGTCTTACAAACTTAATTTCAGCAAAGGATGTGGAATCACTCCGCCACTTGGATGCAACTCACGTTACTAGAAGCCGTCCTGTCATCAACTCCTATTTGGGCCAGCAAGATAGGAGAAAGCTTACGTCACAAGATGTCATGCAGGTCTCAGATCTAGTAGTTAGACAATTTGTAAAAATTTGGAATTCAGTACAGTAATATTATATCATTGGTAGAAAGACTAACACGGTAAATAAGTAGTTCAATGCGTATTTTTGCCCATCATTTTTCTTTAACTATATGCAAAGAAGGTGTGATGACGCTGTTATTGATTTTAATCATTAATAAGTAGGGGAAGAGTTTAGCAAGTTGGACGCATGACAGTTAATAAAATTTATTGATTTGAGATTGATACATTCCCATGAGTAAAATTGAGGTTGTTCTAAATTTCTTAACCGACTCAACGGATGTCCGTCCATGTGTTGTCAAGGTATCCTCCACTTATAAATGGAAACACAAAAACCTCCAGAAGGGTGAACTGTTTGGTAATCAAGGATATGACATACTCACACATTTCACGAGCTGTCTTGGGTCTCGGAAACAACAGTTGTTACCTGTCCGTCACTACGTGTGCACGCCAGTGTGTCCAGTACCCGATAATCTAGAGGTGAGCTTTTACAGTAACATATAAACCACATAGCTCAAGGCGCACCATGATACAGAATAAAGTTCATCTTGTCTGATGTTAATGTATGTGCCACTATGATACCAAATCAATATTATTTAGTCTTATGTTAACTTATGGATCACTATGATACCAAATTAATATTATCTTGTCTTATGTTAACTTATGGACCACTATGATACCAAATCAATATTATCTTGTCTTATGTTAACTTATGGATCACTATGATACCAAATTAATATTATCTTGTCTTATGTTAACTTATGGACCACTATGATACCAAATCAATATTATCTTGTCTTATGTTAACTTATGGATCACTATGATACCAAATTAATATTATCTTGTCTTATGTTAACTTATGGATCACTATGGTACCAAATCAATATTATCTTGCCTTATGTTAACTTATGGACCACTATGATACCAAGTAAATTTCATCTTGTCTCTCAACTTAATACCACAACATATATACAAAAACTAACTTAAAATAATTAAGACACATTATTCTGAACAATTTGTCTAAAAATTATTTACATCTGAACAATGTGTCAAAAATATTATTTTTATGTCAACAATGTGTCAAAATTATTATTGGTATATGAAAATTGTGTCAAAAATATTATTGTGCCAAAAAAATGTATCGACATCTGAACAATGTGTCACAATTATTATTGACAGCATATGAAGCAAAAACTTTTAATTGTAAAATATATTTCTGCCCATCTGATGCTGCCTTTATAACCACTACGGAACAGTTTATTGTTTGTGACTGTCTATAAGATTATCTAGCTTAAATCTATTTCTGACGTCTTCAGCCCTGGCGTCTCCCTGTAGAGCCACTGGGTATTACATTCCCCAGCTATCTCAGTGAGCAAAATGTGGAGAAAATTCGGACTTTGGCCCAAGCTGAGTTTTGCCTTCTTTACGGAAAAACGGTACAGAAAATCCTTGCGGAAAACCAATCAATGGGAAGTAAGTCTTTAGGGTTAGACAAGATTTTATGCATTAAATCGGTCATTTTTTTTAAATTTATTATTGGTGCTAAATTTCAGTCTGGTTAATTTTTCACCTTATTCGGAATTTTCACCTGAGAATAAGCCCAATGAAAAAAAAATATTCCACTAATACATACTCAATTAATACTGTAATTTTTAGCTTCCTTAAAGGAAAATCAGAAGAGAAAAAGTTGTTGATATAATCGCCATATGTACGTTCTTACCATATGGCGTATGTTGTTTTATGTACGTTCTTACCATATGGTGTATGTTGTTCGTCTCAAACAAATTTATTGATGACGTCATGCTCATTCAAATGATTGGAAAAGACAAAAAGTAAGTTTCTTTAACTGTTTTAAGTGGTCCTCAACATGACCAAGTTGATTATAATGTCCTCCACACAAGGCAGTCAATGTGAGCTGGCACAACTTTCAACTAACGATTGAAAGACATGATTAATCGCCATTTTGGCTAAGTTTTTTTTTAATGATATTAACAAGTGATTTTTTTTCCCCAGAACTTCCTGAACAATTTTCAGAGGACAAAATCTTTGGTTTACCTCTGGATCTTCTAATCAAAAAAGACAACGCGTTTAAAAGAAGTGTGCCGCGTCTCGCCATTCCTTCTCTGTTGGGTTTGGTAAGTGTTGTGTGTCTCGCCATTCCTTCTCTGTTGGGTTTGGTAAGGGTTGTGTGTCTCACCATTCCTTCTCTGTTGGGTTTGGTAAGTGTTGTGTGTCTCACCATTCCTTCTCTGTTGGGTTTGGTAAGGGTTGTGTGTCTCACCATTCCTTCTCTGTTGGGTTTGGTAAGTGTTGTGTGTCTCACCATTCCTTCTCTGTTGGGTTTGGTAAGTGTTGTGTGTCTCACCATTCCTTCTCTGTTGGGTTTGGTAAGTGTTGTGTGTCTCACCATTCCTTCTCTGTTGGGTTTGGTAAGTGTTGTGTGTCTCACCATTCCTTCTCTGTTGGGTTTGGTAAGTGTTGTGTGTCTCACCATTCCTTCTCTGTTGGGTTTGGTAAGTGTTGTGTGTCTCACCATTCCTTCTCTGTTGGGTTTGGTAAGTGTTGTGTGTCTCACCATTCCTTCTCTGTTGGGTTTGGTAAGTGTTGTGTGTCTCACCATTCCTTCTCTGTTGGGTTTGGTAAGTGTTGTGTGTCTCACCATTCCTTCTCTGTTGGGTTTGGTAAGTGTTGTGTGTCTCACCATTCCTTCTCTGTTGGGTTTGGTAAGTGTTGTGTGTCTCACCATTCCTTCTCTGTTGGGTTTGGTAAGTGTTGTGTGTCTCACCATTCCTTCTCTGTTGGGTTTGGTAAGTGTTGTGTGTCTCACCATTCCTTCTCTGTTGGGTTTGGTAAGTGTTGTGTGTCTCACCATTCCTTCTCTGTTGGGTTTGGTAAGTGTTGTGTGTCTCACCATTCCTTCTCTGTTGGGTTTGGTAAGTGTTGTGTGTCTCACCATTCCTTCTCTGTTGGGTTTGGTAAGTGTTGTGTGTCTCACCATTCCTTCTCTGTTGGGTTTGGTAAGTGTTGTGTGTCTCACCATTCCTTCTCTGTTGGGTTTGGTAAGTGTTGTGTGTCTCACCATTCCTTCTCTGTTGGGTTTGGTAAGTGTTGTGTGTCTCACCATTCCTTCTCTGTTGGGTTTGGTAAGTGTTGTGTGTCTCGTCTACTGACGTGAATTGATTTAATTAAATCATTTGTCAAGATAATAGAGATAGAAGATAATCAAATGTCTTCTGACAGTGGCAGAGGTCGGCATGGTTTTAATTATAGAACATAAATATGAAACAATTTTTTTTTAAAATGTAAAAATGTCTAAGTCATTTACGTTCAATTTTATGTTTACACAAAACAATATCTGGAAATAAGTTTAATGTTTCTGTTTTTAAAAAAAAAAACATTTAAAAAAAAATAAACTTGTGGACAATAAGATTACAATAGTGATAGATGCCACCCTTTGCCAGACACTGATGATTCTATTTGGAAACAAGAAAAAACTCAGAATCAGACTTACTTTTAAAAAGGGGGGGGGGTCCCCCGCACCGTTCACCTAATGTTACTGTTTTTTTTTTCTACTTTAAACTTATAAAATAACCCAGTAAAGCGGACTAATCCAATAACTAAAGCTTTGAAATATTTGACTGGTCCAAGAATGGATTTTCTTTGTCGTCTTTTTTGTTTAATGGGGGAAAAATAAATGTTGCATAAAATGAGATGGGTTCTATATAGAACATTTTAAAGTTTTAACAAATCTAAACTTCATGATTTCTAGATGCTAAAATTCATCAGTAAGAATGGCCTGACTACCAAAGACATATTCAAAACTCCAGGTAGCAGTACTAAAGTCGAGGTAGGATTTGTTACGTAATATGATAATGTATATATCATGCTATAATAGAATATAATGACGTATAACTTTACTCTATTTTAATTATTTTTTTTTTAAAGATTTAAATTTTTATTCACAAGTCTGTCAGGTATGAGGGAAAAAAGTGACATTTTATTTTGTAGTTATAGACATAAATTAAATATTTAGAACGATAGAAAAAAAAACAATTAAAACAGCTTTGAAGGGGTAAGGACAGTGTCTGGTACAGACTTGTGGAGGCCACTAGGCCATAGGCAGTCGAAATGACCCCTGCCCCATTAGCGTACTTAATGGGAGCGATTTTTTTTTTTGTTGTTGTTTTTTTAAAATAACTTTAGCAACTGATCTATAGCTCCCCCCCCCCCTTCTTTTTTGTGTGCAAATGTTCTGTTGTGTGTCTCACCATTCCTTCTCTGTTGGGTTTGGTAAGTGTTGTGTGTCTCACCATTCCTTCTCTGTTGGGTTTGGTAAGTGTTGTGTGTCTCACCATTCCTTCTCTGTTGGGTTTGGTAAGTGTTGTGTGTCTCGTCTACTGACGTGAATTGATTTAATTAAATCATTTGTCAAGATAATAGAGATAGAAGATAATCAAATGTCTTCTGACAGTGGCAGAGGTCGGCATGGTTTTAATTATAGAACATAAATATGAAACAATTTTTTTTTAAAATGTAAAAATGTCTAAGTCATTTACGTTCAATTTTATGTTTACACAAAACAATATCTGGAAATAAGTTTAATGTTTCTGTTTTTAAAAAAAAAAACATTTAAAAAAAAATAAACTTGTGGACAATAAGATTACAATAGTGATAGATGCCACCCTTTGCCAGACACTGATGATTCTATTTGGAAACAAGAAAAAACTCAGAATCAGACTTACTTTTAAAAAGGGGGGGGGGGTCCCCCGCACCGTTCACCTAATGTTACTGTTTTTTTTTTCTTCTTTAAACTTTTAAAATAACCCAGTAAAAGGGACTAATCCAATAACTAAAGCCTTGAAAAATTTTAATGGTCCCAGAA